TTATAAGTCCCCTAATATGGGCTATGCGCATGGATACCCTACTTAGAACCCCACTTATAACTACCCATGAACCTCCAAGTAGAGGTTAAGGGTTTCGGGTTTAGGGCTTGCTCTCCAATGTTGTCGGCGAAGACACTCGCAAAGCACGGCAATAAAGACGTTGATGGTGCACGTCAGGAAGATGAACACTCCGCCTGCAAGAAGCACAGCAGATGGTCAAGCTACTTCTCCTCGACGAGCATGCTCGTGAGATGTACATCTGTTAGAGCAAAGCCAAGGCATTCATAACACAACAGGTCAAACGGGCGCCTTAGCAGCCTGCTTTTGATGTCTATGGTACAGGACTGAGCCTGAAATCTCGGACTCGTAAGTCGTAAGAGTCCAGATGTCATGCCACAACCCTCTTTCCTCTGTGGAACGCCCAGCAAAAATCCCACCAATGCCGTCTCGGTCAAGACTTAGCCCTCGAAAGCCCTAAGTCCCAAACGGCAGATCCTGGCAGCAGTCTCCCTGCGCTTCCAAAACGCCCGAAACCCTAAACCCTAAATCCCAAACCCTAAACAAATGCGGCTTGGCAGTTCGAAACCGCCCACGTCCGGTTGTAGTCTGTTGAGGATGTCCCTACATATGGGTAGTTCTGTAAATCAGGGTCTTCTTGCAGGGTTAAGGGTGTAGGCACATGTGAGAGGGCTCCTGATCGCTACATGGTCCTACACGCAAGGTACTGCAGCGACTCCACTCCCAACAACCCCTTAGTACGAAAGCTACTGCTCCGAGAGATTCACCCACAACAGTGGGGCCTATCGACAGGAGGATGATCGTGATCCTCTGACGATCCGGCATCCTAGGCGACGCAAATTGGGGTTTGAATGTCCATCTTACGGCTGCGAATTACATGTATCTGTACTGAGTTTATGTCATTAACTCGCAGCTTAAGAACAGAAGATCGAGATTCCAGTTTTCGGGCTGCTATGCCTTGATTTGCCGAAACCACCTAGCTCACCATGCAACATGAGGCTTAGTGTTCCCGCTCGGTGCTGGATCGTCGTGCCTCACACTCTCGTAGGCGCTCGTCACGCCCTAAACCCTGACCCCTAGTCACCCCTTTGATCCTCTTGGAGCTCCGTTACTTACGGGCACAACGGGCTAACCCAGTACTACATGCACCTAGGGCTACATAAGCACCATGACCTACTACAGAGGCGGCGGGGCTGCGAAGGTACATAGAAATCCTATCGAAGCCCAACCCGTGTTGTAGTTTCGCCGTGACTAATCTGTTCGGGATCTGCATGACTATCGGCCGATCGCAAATTCTTGCAAACCACGGCTACTCTTCGCGTGCGCGTGCACATCCTCTTCCGTAGCGGGCCATGCAAACGGTTTAGGGTTTAGGGTTTGCAGAACTACCGTGATCTCGTACAAGACACATGTGAGGGAGCTAGCTGCCGGTATTCAGCCACCTCAGCCTGTCCTACAAGGAAGTTGACTCGTCAGCCACCTTCGCCTGTTCTACAACGAGTTCGAAGATTAATACCAGGGCCTGAATAACGACCGACTCCCGGCCTTTTCATCAACCACCCAGGTGCGACACAAATGTTGTCATTTACCCTAAACCCGAAGCTCTGAACCCTAAACCCTAAACCCAAAGCTCTGAACCCTAAACCCTAAACCCTAACAGAGGGAGTCAGCCAAGTGGCAGCGCCAAGTCATCGCCACTGAGGAACTGCTCTCCGGTGAAAAGCAGCACGACGATGTTAAACATGGAGATTTCCTCGCCAAGGCAAGGCAAGGTTCTCAGGGTTATAGAGTTTACTTGGAGGTTCATGGGTAGTTATAAGTGGGTTTATAAGTAGGGTAACTGGACTTAAAACCCATATTAGGGGACTTATAACCCCACTCATAACTACCCATGAACCTCCAAGTAGGGATTAGGATTTAGGGTTTAGGGTTTAGAATTAATGTTTAGGGTTTAGGGTTTAGGGTTCATGCGGCTTGTAAGGGTCTATGAAGGCTCAAGAGGCTCATGCGGGTTTAACGGGTTTCCGGATGGGTGAACAGCACAGAAACCGAAAAACACATGGCTCAAACATCTGGGCGTCTACTCCACATTTGGTCATAATCGGGACTACAAGTGATACTATCACTTACCAATGATTCCGAGCCCTGTGCTATAGCATTTAGGAGTCCCAAGCCGCCGACGCTGCCCTACGGAACCTGCACTTGGTGAAGTCTCTGCAAACGCCGGGTTGGTCAGGGAGCATGATCTAGGAAGCTGACTCATCAGAATGAGGTATTGGAATATATAATGCTGCACTATCATATATCATATCATACTACCTTACTTCTATTCTACTTCTTTGTGTTATGGTAATTTAATGATATTAAAATATATCATATTTCATTGTATTATTTAAATTTTATTTCAATATATTACACCAGTACATCAAGGAATCCTGAGAAACCCTACTCTAACTCCAGAGGCCCTAGGTTGCGCTACAAGGCATTCTGCCGAGGGGCATTAATGTCCGCGCGGTCCATGGCCCAAAAAGCGTGGAGGAAGGCTAAGGTGATCGAACACCTAGGCAGATGCTCTTTCGAGATTGGGAGAACTGCACGTCAGACTCAGGGCTTAGGGAATTGCAGGTTTAGGACTCTCGAAATTTAGGGTCTCGGTCGACAGAGCACATCCGGGCTTTTGACTAATAAATGCCTTGTCAGGGTTGGGACTATAATAGAGGGGCCGTAATATTTGGATTAGGGCTTTGGGGTATATTATAGTAGACTTATAATAAGGAACCCCCAAAAACAGTATTGGTAATTATGTAGGCCCCTATATTAGCACGTTCGGGGTGCTTGCAGTCTTCTATTATAATGAATGATAGTTAGGATCTAGCGCACGTCCGTCTTCGAAGTTGCTGGCGGCATATCCGGGACGCCTGGGGTCACATCCGTAGAGCACGGCACGAACTCAATGACTCAAATTGGCAGAAATATGTGAAGCTAATGTGAAGAGTATCGTGGCGTGACAGGTTTCATAAGCTTCAACTCAAACAGTGGCGGACCAGTGAACTCTGGGAACCTTGAACCCGAGCCCCTCGTACTTGCAAGCACTTCGTCTCCAGAGTACAGAAACCCAAACTCTATGTAACTGGGCCATGAAAGAATCGGAAACCAATTTCCAGTTCATGCAATCGGACTGTTGGAACAACAATGCAGAAGGTACTGATTTCAAAAACAAGCCAACGCATGCGAAAGTGCAGAAGGCAAGTGGCACATCCTGCGACATTGGCCACAACCTTGAGCCCTCCCCAACACAGCCCTAAACATAATCAACAAATCCGAAACCCTCGACCCTGTCCAGAAGCCCAAGAAGAAGCCATCAATGGCACACTGGCCTGATGAACCCGTGGGTTCCGAACTACCCTAAACCCTAAAACCCTATACCCAAAACCCTAAAACCTAAACCCAAAACCCTAAACCCGAAACCCTAAACCCAAAACCCAAAACCCAAAACCCTAAACCCGAAACCCTAAACCCTGAAACGCTAAACCCAAAACCCTAAACCCTAAAAAAAACTTAACCCTAAACCCTAAACCCTAAAACCCTAAAACCTAAAACCCTGATCCCAAACTCCTCAGCTCAGGGGCATGATCAGCAACATCCCTGCGATGGGCGTGACCGACTTCATGATGGGAAGTATCCTGCAGGGTTTAGGGTTTAGGATTTGGGGTTTAGGGTTTAGGGGTTTAGGGGTTTAGGGTTTACGGGTTTAGGGTTTAGGGTTTACTTGGAGGCCCAGGGGACTTAGTAAGTAAGTAGAGTTATAAGTGCCCTAACTGGAGTTACCCCAACTATAACCCTACTTGTAACCGACTTACCAAGTCCCCTGGGCCTCCAAGTAGGGTTGTGAGATTTTCGATTTAAGCTTTATAGGGTCTACGGTTTGGGGTTGCGGGATGTTCGATTTAAGCTTTATAGGGTTTATGGTTTAGGGTTGTGGGATTTTCGGTTTAAGCTTTATAGGACTTAGGGTTTAGGGTTGTGGGATTTTCGGTTTAAGCTTTGTAGGGTTTAGGGTTCAGGGTGCAGCCAGAACTTTGGAAGTTTACGGGGCAGCCGTCGACGGTGGTGTGCAAGAACCGAAACCGAGGGGGTCCCCGTACTACGCTTGCTGACTCCCTCTGCGACTCCGGCAGGCCTGATAAAAGGGCTCCATGGCTTCCCAAGAGGGTCAATATATACCACCATTATGGAATTAGGTCCCCAAAACCATATTAGGGATGGTCCTTTGGGACCTACTTCCATAATGGTAGTGTATATGGACCCTCTGGGTTCGTTTAGGGACCAGGGACGGGAGAATTATGGAGTTTTCGGGATCGAGTTGTATGATAGAGGGTTCATAGTCAATTAAATTGAGTTTCCCGGATCGGGCTTTATGATTGAGGGGGAGGGGTTAGTAAAACGAGGATCACATTAGCGTGCAAGGGAAGAAACTTTGTGGCTTGGAAGCTTGGCCCCTCAACTGGTTAACTTGCAACGTTGGAGGCTCCTTAGATGCTCTTAAATAAGTGATACCCGTGGATTTTGTTAAGCTTGAAACCTTAAGGCCCACGGCGACAAAGCAAAAACAAACCCAAGGCCTTGCATTATTATTGACGTGTTCTGGGAAAATATGCGGGGCCTATACCCTAGTCATGCAGTCCTGTAGTAAGAACCCCTGCAAGACCGTACCTTCACCGATCCGTGTTGTCTTTACTAACGGCAAGTAACCCTTACACATTCCTTACCGGAAGCCTATGCCCCTAAACCTCTGCAGAACGTTTAACAAGGAAGCCCAAAACGGATGTCACGGAACTCTACAAAGCCCTTCAGAGTCAGAGGCCTTCGACCCGTCGCCCGGAAGGCGCGTATCCTGGAGGGTGTAGAGTTGATATGATTTAGGGTTTCGGGTGTACAGAAGGGCTCAGAATTTGAGATGGTAGTATAGAGGTAGTTCTCTAAATTAGGGTCCCCCTTTTAGATCCCCAATGTAATACGGCACCCTTATAAAAAAGGACCCTAAAAAGGGACCACAATTTTGATAACTGCCCATATGAGAGGGATGTGCATTCCTCTGAGAGGTTAGATTTAAATGAAATGTCTGAACTTTCTTGGTTTGGGGCGGCTCCACACTTTGTCTTCGGAGTTTCGACATCCTCCTCGAGGGCTGCACAGAGAAAGCTTCGAAACTCACGCAGTAATATAGGGGCCTTAATAATTGGAATAGGGTTGTGGGGTCCATTATACTATAAGTATAATAAGGACCCCCTCCCCCCAAAAAACAAAACTAAAGTATAGGTAATTATTAAGGCCCCTGTAGCAAACAGACCCAGGGTTCGTGAATTCGGGACTGTGCCCTTCGCACCGCTGTGACCATCTATCTGATGTGAAGCATCTGCTGACATGATTCAGGAACCCTAAACTCAAACCCTAAACCGCTAAATTCTAAACCCCTAAAACCCTGAACCCTGAACCCCTAAACCCCTAAACCCCTAAACCCCTGAACCCTGAACCCTAAACCCTAGATTCTCGACTGGAGTTTTAAATTGCCTACCTAGGCAGGCTACTGTTGTTATAAAATGGGCCTACTAAGAACGACTGATGAGCCCCCCGACGTAAACCACTGAAAGCCAGATGCTATAAACCCTAAACCCCTAAACCCTAAACCCTAAACCCCACGATGTATTCTGTATATCCCAAGCCGCCCGATTCGCTTCCATTGCTGGGGCCCCGGCTCTGTAAGTATCAGCAGCCAATGCAGCAAGCTGTTGATGGACAGCAAGATGGAGCCTTTAGGGCTTAGG